GCCCCTATCTACGGACTACAAGAAGGTCCCATCGAAAGGTGTACAGGGGCGTAACTTGGCCAATAGTTTTGGGGGGGTGAAAAGGGTTTCTGCCCTGCAAAAATGAGTGGTGCAGGTCTTTACACTGGTCTTTACCAAGGACAAACTTCTAAGCAATAAAAACAAACTTGAAACTTCATTGCCTATGAAATTTTTATTTCTCTACGTGAGCGTAAATTGTTTTTTTATATTCACTTCATTTAATGTTGGTTTGCAAAATTAAGCTAATAAACAGCTAATTGGGGGGGTGGGGGTACATGATGTAGACAGCGCAACGAAATTTAGCCCAGTGGGGCTAAGAATCGAGTTTAGTGAGGTAGGAGGACCCACCATGGTTGGGTCCGACATGAAGAAATTTTTTGAAATTGTATGTTGTAAAAGGGCTAAAAAGCATCTTTCAGACAAAAATTTACCAAATTACTATTGTGCTAAAAGAAGTGATTGTTTATTGAAAATATTATTGTTTATTGGGAAAAATAGGGAGGGGGATGTCATGCTAAAACTCTAGTGTTAGACGTTGGGGAAGGAAAGAAACGGCAACCTTTCGTTTCAGATTGCACGTAGTTGTGAATGAAAGAGGAAGATGTTGTTTTGATTGGGAGAATATTTTTTCCTGAACAGAAATGTGCAGTTTCTTGTATCAAGAAGGCCATTTTTACACACCCAAAATTATAACATTGCAATGATACAGAAAATGATTTACTGAATTAATGCAAATAAAAGAAAAATAATAAAAATATACGTGAAAAAGTTAGCAATTAGATGAAACAAAATCGGTATCTTAACGATTTATTATGTTTTTTAGTTCATGCACTGTTAAAAAGTGATAGAAAAAATGATAAAAAATTCCTATCTTGACCAAAGTGAGGGACTTCAGCCCCTTATTCCCCCCCCCCAGTGACGCCGTGCTTGTCATGAAAATAATTTACAACATTAATTTGCATGACTCAACCTTGCCCTCATAAACATATGCATCAATCATTGCATCCATTGGCTATGACTTTCGGTAAGAAATGCTTTCGCTTTGCAAATAACGGAGCTTTTCCTTACATACCTGTTCCGTTCTCTAAAATGCAATGTCAGGAAGGGAGGTTCATAACAAATACGATATTTCCATTTCAAAATTCCTAAACGGCTCTTTACGAACTTCAGAGGTGGCATTTCTGCGTGGCAATAAAGCTCTTCTTGGCGCCCTGCGAAATCTTCGATTGCCCTGCGAAATCGATTATTTTTTGGATTGGGGGGGGGTGTCACACCCCCCACACCCCCCAGTAGTTTCGCCCCTGAAGGTGTATACCATTTTAAAAAGAATGCAAAGATGTAAAAATGATAATTTTTCTCATTAGCTAGGGAGAACTGAATAAGAAATATGTTTTAGTTAAAGAACTTGTAAAGATCTTGAACAGGGCTGTCGCTAAACTATTCCACGTAGGAGGGGGGGGGCCGTGACCTATTTGCTGACAAAACAGGGCATGGCCTAAAATAAACCAATTTTTGGGTGTGGCACTTTTAAACAGTTGATGTCATTCATCGAATTTTTGAGAAAACTATTGGCTAAATACCAGAAAATAGGAAAACGTATTGCGACTCAGATGAATTTATAATGCAGACAAATTGTAAGGAGAAAGAAAGTTTATGTTTTCAACAACATTCTGGAAAATTTATTGGCTTCATGTGATAATTAACTGATAAAAAGCACCGTAACATTTAAATTAGAAAATGCCATTTGATATGTACGTGTTGCATTGTAGTAAGGGATTGATTGCATCATGCACCTTAATTGCAGCTTTAGGTATCAGATCGTAGGCTTGGAAGGTGCCTGCAATTACCCTTGCACTGTTTGGTCTTTAACATCATTTGCAAACTGTTCAAGGCATTGCAAATGTTTTTAACCTTTGCTTTGCCTGCAGTTCCTAGTTTTGTCCGCAGATCTGTTGACTTCAGGACCTCCGACATAGGGGGGCATGCTTTTTTGCCAAAAAATAGAGCCTTTTTGAGAAAACTTTTGCTATGATTGTTAAAATATCCATTGCAGCCTCATAAACTTGTTTTATAGCTCATGTTCCTGGCGTTGCCTATCCGAAATGCTTGTAGTTCTTGGTAACCCAGATATGATTTTATCCCAGAAAAGATGTCTGACTTGCACGAGGTGTGTAAATAGCTTTAAATATTTTTGTTGGAACTAGTTTGAAGATTCATTTCTTTAAATTTCTTTTTTAACTGCGCACATCTTCATAAGGTTTCCACGATTCATGGTTATATGATACTCAGCGTTCAAGAAACTACAAATTTTCACCAAGCAGGTACATGTTTTTGATGTATTTGCATAAGATGAAATTCATGCTTCTTGATTGTGTAACATATTTGAAATCGTTATAACATAAAATATAATTCCTTCACTCAATAATGCCTTATAAAAATAATATTGTCTCTTCCTCCAATACTTCCCAAAGCATCCGAATGTTGTATCACACTCTCTATATTTAGCTCTTTTTCAGCCTTCCGCGTCATCTCAGGCTAGCTCCTTTGTGGGATATATACTTGTTAATAGTAATTTTTGCCCACTTCTGATCAGTCTGCGTACCTACAAACGCCTCTAATTGATGTTTCAATAAATGCTACTTATTTCAATAATCTCGGTTACATCAGGCGTTTTATGAAATAAATGTAACATGGAAGAGATCAGATGCACTGATTCGTTTCTATCTGCTTACATACAGCTTTTTATAGACACTTTACAATTTGAGATCTGGTAGCTTTTGGTTTTTGACCAAGTGTTCAAGTTGGTCCGATTTTATTCATGGCTGCCCCTAGGGCAGTGAGCGAAAGCTCTTAAAAATGCCATGACTCAGCCATTTGTTCGCAAAAACTCGAAACTATCGATATAAATAGTGATACACATTGATTGACTCAACAAAACGGCTGAAACTAGCTTTAAAATGTCTAACAGAACAAAGAAACTACTTTTAGGCGTTTTTCTTTAGAAATTTTTTCCAGTTTTTCAAATGTAGACAAGATAGACATTCTTAAACTTTTCCATCATCTTGTCTTCGTACTGTTCTCAAAAATCAATTATCGCTTAGATTTTCATGTTGTATTTTTCTTTTCCCGAGAGTACTTCTTTGATTTTACTCTAGAAGTGAAGTTTTGAACAACAAGATAGCCTCGTTTGTCAAATAATTTGGCATGCTAGGTTCTAAACTCAGGCTGCAACAGAGAGTCATTTGAAATTTTTGAGGGACTTTTGCTCCTCCGTGACACCCCATAGCGCAATCTGTTACTATTTAGAGTTGCTGAGGACCTTTGGATGATACCTTTGCCGTGTTATTTTCTTCTCAGCACAACTGCTTGCCTAAGCTAATGCTTTTTGAAACTTTATTTTCACCTCGACCCCCCCC